CTACACCAAGCCTTTTACGTTATTATTTTTGGATTATTTCAGACAGAAAACAAATCATCAAAAGAACCAAGTCTGAACTTTTTCAAATTAATTTTCATTTTTGAAAAAAATAAACCAATTTTATCTTATTATGAGGAGACTTATCCTCAATTTATAAAGATGAATTAAATACTAGGATCTTTATGCAATATTATCGTTAATTTGTTATGATCAATTTGAATTTTAATAGCCAAGCACGCTTATTGACATGCGAGTGTAAATTGAAACACTTACATTTTCATCAAATACTACTTTTTTTTTCAATTCTGAGATTCATATTTTCACAGATATGAAGCACACAAGTCACTATGCACAGAATAAGTAAGCAACTCGATTGATATGCCAAAAATAAAGATAAATAAATTTTCTTCGTTGAATCCATTTATTTGAGTTCTTCAAATGACATGGCACTAATTCCACATAATGTGCAATCGACAATGTCATTTTTTACTTCTTTTAATAAAGTGTCATTTAGGATGTTTAAAAGGACAAAATTTTAATGCATTCTATTGTTATGGAAAAAATACAACTACCCTACCTATTTTTAACTAGACTAAGCACCTGTTGCAACTGGAAGTTTGTGGATGACTTAAAACAATTCGCAGCGTGTAACAACGGTCAGTCTGAGCCTCAGCTTTTAATTTTCTAATTAATCCCGATACTTAATACAAAACTTTAAAAATTAGTAGTTTCTCTTTAAAAGTAACTCCATTTTTTATTTATTACCAACTAAGTTATTATAGCTTACATTACTAGATTAGTTAAATTTATAGTTTGCATCAGGTGTTGGAAGATGGGCCGAGTTAAATATTTTCTTAATAATATAAGGATTACTAGTTAGTAAATGTCACGAGTTTGCCATTTGACTCCCTTTCTCCTCCGACTGCCTTTTGAATAAAAACATACCTTTTCTCCTATTACCTTATCAGAATGAAAAATTAAAGAGCACTTCCCTTTCTTTCATTTTGTAGTGATATGAAGCCTCATCTGTGAAACTTCATTTTAAGTAATCAAAGTACGTGTACATCAGCCATTTTTTTATATTATATCATATGCTAAAGGCTT